ATATCTTAGAGGGAATGTCTTAGGTGTATTTTAAACTATTATTTACTAATAAACTATTAATAGTAAATATGTTATTGTTATTTAAAAACCAAAACAAAAAGAAATGTTGTATCTGTTTTATCGAGCTGTAAACTTTGAATAATACAAAAGTCCTGTGACATTCCCCCCGAAATCATGTTCTCTATAAATTTCATAGTTAGGAGTTTTAATATTATTATTATTATTATTATTATTTAGACGGGCAATTTTCAATATAAATTTATCGAGGGTATACAAATTTAACATAAAACTATGGTTGTTACAGTTACAGGAAAGTAATTATTTAAATGCATATTGAACATTATGATAGTTACTTACACATAAAAAAAATATCAATACAATATTCGTTTACGAATGACATATACGATAAATCTATTACACAGTATAATAGTAGTTGGTTTGGGAAAGTAAACGATTTAGATATGTATTAAAAAAATTTATAGCTAGACATGGAACAAAATCAATATTATACGTATTTACTAATAACATACATCTATTTACGGGCACATTTAGACTGTAGTTCGTGGGCTGAAATCGTACGTAAAAGATAGCTGTGTAATTGTCTGGTGCTGCGACTAGGAATAGAGATATTTAAATTGGCAAGTAGATTGGGACAATAAATGCTTCCGTCGAGTAACTTAAATGTGAAGCAGAAATCTCATGTTACTCGTTTTGTTTTCAACGATTCAAGATATAAATGTGTCAACAATGGCCGATTTCGTATCGATTCTATAGCTTGTATTGAACTCACAGTACTTGGTGACCAAACTATGGAGTTGTAACCCAGAATTGGACGTACATATGCGCAGTATAATGGTTTCAACACAATTGGATTTTCGAAGTCTTTACAGCTTCGGGTTATAAAACCTAACTTGGATGACGCCTTGCTTTGTACGCGTGTCTACACGTGAGTGTTAAAGAGGAGATACGTGTCAAAAAATGTACCTAAATCATTATTCTGATGAACACGGTTGAGTTCGAAATCGTTTAAATAATAACTATGAATGTATGGAGATCTCATTTTCGGAAAAGTTATTACTTGACATTCGCTAATATTGAGATAAAATTTATTTCGGTCACACCATCACACCAGACGCAGTGGTGGTTTAAACCATTTTGTAGGATCGCGGCATCGTTAGATGTTTTAAAAAATAAATTATATAAAATAATAAATAAATTCCAACGGAAATTTGTATACTTTACGCGTTGCTTCGTATTGGTGATAAAACAGACTGTTTATGAAAGGAAAGGGTTTCGAGTACCCAGGCATTTTGATCTGATAAACACGACATTGCGATCGATCGCGTAAAACGTTCTTGAAAAATCCGCAAACACAACATCGCCCGATTTAAACGCGTCCCGGCCGTAATGCCGGAATAATAGAAGATTCGTGGTCGCGGACCTAACCGTGTTGTTCATCGACAGACACATTTTTAAAAACAATTGGTTGATTATTATTGACCATACGATCGAAATTAAGCTGGTTTTACGTAACATTCTGCGCAAGCGTGGTTTGTTTGCGCGCGTGTTACCCGGCAGTCCGAGACCGAGACCGGTAGCTGCCGGCGCGCGTGCAACGGCCACTTTCGGGGAAAAAGCGTTTTCCGGTGTGTAGTGAAACAAAACAAAACGAAAAAAACACGCGTCTTCGCGGCGGTACTCGGAATCTGAAGATTACAAACGGAAAACCAAACGGTTCCGTCGCCGCGTTCGGGGCGGGTTGGCAGACGCGGCGGCGCTGCAGAGACGGCGGACGACGAGAGTGCCCCGCGCGTAACGTCTCGCGGCGTAACGCGTCCGTCCACACGCGGTATTCTTGAGTGCGTGCGAATTAGCGATCCGCGAGCCGGCGGCGGGGTGGGGGGTGGGGGGCGGGCGCGTGGCAACGGCGGCGCCGAACGTTTTGTTCTCGCGGCGCGCCGGTGCGTACCTGTAGTACGGGAAGAATTAACGCGGCGCCGGAGAACTCGCCGGACGGGTGCGGCGGTCGGAGAGCGCGCACGCTGCGACGACGGCGGCGAGGCGAGAAAAAAAAAAAACGAACCGAAACGGAACGGAGCGGGGCGGGCGGCCGACAGGCTGACGGCCGGGGG